AAGTAGAAAATTATGGGTAACTCATCTTTTTAGAACGTACCAATTTTATAATTTACTATGATCTTGGTTATGTTTATAACGACCGACCGATTATATCGCAGACTTCATTAGCGAATATTTCGCAGATTTGTAGGTAAGGCTTTTGAGCTGGAACCATGTGATTGTACCAGCTTATTATGGCAAAATATATGTCGAAAAACTCAAGAAATGTGATTCATCAAGTTTTTTCTCCAAATTGCACTTTTTAAAGTTTTCTAAAAGTCAAATAAAGAAGCTATGTAGGTGGAACCATAGCATAAGGAGGGCCAAATATGCCCAAAAATGATTTTGAATAAATTCTAAAGAATATAATTGAGCAGAGAGTTTCAAATGGGTGACAGCATAATTAAACAGGGATACGGAATTATTCCTGGGTTGCTATTAAAGCCTAAATACTTGGTACATTTTGAGAGAGAGAGAGAGAGAAAAAAAAAAAAGACAAAAGAAAGAACATTGATGCTACATTTGCGATAAGTATGAAAGGAAACCACATTGCAGCACATGGAGTTGTGTTTTTAGGAATATTCCAAAGTAATGTAGAAAATGTGATTAGATTAATCTTCCATATTGCCGTGTGATAGTTTTAAAAAAAAGGTTTACTTTTTTGGTATATAAACGAAATTTTAGATCTGACTCTTGTACCATTCAATAAATGTAACTTTCTTAGTATTTCTGTGTAATAATATTTATATGCGTATGTAACATTCAATTATTTAAGGGTAATACTCAATGCTACACACGTTCGATTACATTTATTAATGTTAAACTTAAACAATCTGCCTCGTTCACTTCGCGGATTTGAGTTTTTAATTCGAGCTGAGATGTGACATTTTCTGAGAGCTTTTTACTGTAGCAGAAAAAGTTGATGTAACATTTTATGAGAGCTTTTTACTGTAGAAACCTAAAACTGAAAACTCGAATCGGTGAAATGAACGAGACTATAGACAAATAATGTTACACACTAATACTAAAAAAGTTATATTTGTCGGATTGGTCCTAATACCCCGGATGCGATACTTAAGACGGGTCCTAAAAAAATTAAATCAAAAATGGTTTCGACTGATCATATGATATTGTGTTCCTGGCAACTAGAAGTTTTTTGTTAAAAAAAAAAACATTTATACTATAAAGTAAGTGCGGATAGAAAGTAAATGAGCAGATCATAGCAATAAGCCAATAAAGGACGTCAATATAAATTGTGTGGACTTCTGGGGTATGAGTTTCTAGAAGTCCTAATTGACGACACGAAGCTCAGAATTATTATTGGAATTGAAAGGAAATGGTGAAATGAATGACTAATAATATCAAAAATATAGAAAATATCAAAACAACTTTTCAAAATTAAATCCATTAATATGATTAGAGCAGCAGTCAAAAGAGACATGTAAATGGCTAATAATAATTTAGCAAAAATGGCCAATAATTTCACCTTCATATTCCACGTGCAAATAAAAACCGTGTAGATACCAAAACTAATATAATAGTACCATGTAAATAATTAACCTAACCAATGCAAAAAACATCATCTGTCTTAGCTAATCTCCAAAGCATATACCAGTACTACAATTGACTATTGTATTCAACAAAAAAAAAAAAAAGTGAGAAATAGTATATCTAATATGTTATTTTATTTTGTGCTGGAGTGCATGTTATTTTAAATTTTATATCTTCTTTTCATAATAATCATTAAAGTTTGGAAGTTGTGAAGGTAAATTTTTAATTTTTTAAATAATTTAAAAATAATAATATTAAAAATGTTAAATAAAAATGTTAACACGTCAATCAATTTCAACCAAATGTCTAAATTTAATCTATATTGTATTTGGTGCTAAATGTAACACCACTTATACTATATGTCAAAGTTACACCAAAAATAACATTAGATTGGAGAATAATCTCCTAACTGAGTACCAAAATTTGACATTAGCATATATATAAGTTTTGCACTGCAATCGAGATGTTAGCCTTTTCTGCGAAATAACTTGTTAATATTGTTAGTTACCAAGCTAATAGCTTGTACAATAATTTGTTTAAATATATATATATTGATCAAGTTTTTATTTTATATAGTTATTTTATATTTTAATTATCTCAAGTTACATTATATTAAACTGCAAACTTATTATATTTAGAAGTTTTTATGCTGGAATAATTAAAATATTTTATATAGCGCATTCACTACTACCCATCAAACGAACATAAATACCAGCAATATTGTAAGAGAGACAAAATCAATCACCAAAATTGTATTACCCATTTTGCCATAAAGGTTCCTCAGCCAGCAAGAGCAACTGTTGTCCGTTCATAGTTTTATAATTAGAGACTTGTTCATGACTCATAAGTCCCTCTTCCTAGTCTCCATTAATTGTTTTGATCTATGCTTAGATGGTTTTGATTTTTGCATTGATACATGATTCATAAAAGCCTACGTATCAAAAAGGGAAAAAACTCAAAAAGAAAATTTGAAAACAAAACATATGCAAGCTAGTCTTCTTTCATTATGAATGGAGATAAAAAAATTATTTTGGTACCCTTTGTAATAATAAAACATATCATTGGTACCCTATGTTCTTAATAGTATGAAAATAGTATCTTTATCTTTAAATAAACGTTCTTTTAACAAATTTAAACTGATTTTTGAGACATATAATGTTCAAATTGCCCATGTCATTTATTAAATAAAAATTAATCTTTAAAAATATTTTATGAAATATCATTTTTAACTTATTTCAAATTTTTTAATTTTAAATGTTTCATAGTATATTCAGATTTTTTTTAAAAAAAAAAATTTATTAGTTTGTTATTAATACCAACGAGATGTTTTGTTATAATAGAGGGCATCAAAATGATTGTATCCCCTATAAATATTATGTCTTGACATTCATGGTATACACATATTAGTATTTGCACTAAAAAACTAGAGCTGTAAATTTGAGCCGCATAATCTGGCCCGACCGAGAGACCCAAAATGTGAAATTGGATTGGGCTAGGTCAACTCGCTTGAGCATATGATTGACCCTAGCAAACCCAGAAGTCTGTATGGGCTCGTCCGGCCCTCATTTTTAATAAGAAATTAAAAAAAATAATAATCCAACCTAAATCAAAGAGCTGGGCCCCCGGACCAACCTATTTAGCATGGTTTAAATTGGAGAAAATTGGTGAACTCATTCTTTAAATGCATGCTCTAATATTTTTACTCTTTAATCTTGATTAGTACCTTTTTGGTTAATATAGTTTTTTGATTAAAGGATAAAAATTCAATACTCATATATTCTAAGATGTATTTCTCTCTTTTTCCTATCAAATTGACAGCTCTATTAATGACAAACAAACAAACAGTAATAACAATAATACGAAAATATACAAAATCTAAATATATAGATATGCCTGAACAAAACTAGGGTCCAAAACAATAAATTATTAAGGGTGAATATTTTTCAAATTGGTCGTATTTCTATTGTATTCTATTAGATTTGCGTATTGTTTCTACCATTAATATGTATATGTTCTGCTTAAAAGAATCCTAATATAATTAGATGTAGAAAAATGTGTGTATGGATAAGTCCATGAATGTTGAAAGTATTTTTAAAAGTGAAAAGAATAGCATAAATTCTGCTAAGCAACTTCTTGAGAAGATCTCCACTATTAATTGTTAATTATATTTTTTCTAACCAAAGAACCACACAGCTCCACTACTTATTAACTATATACATATATATATATATATAAATGTCCCCGAGATATATGGCTACATTCATAAGGTAGGTTAATCAACACAGAAATACGTTTAGTCGAGTAATTAGTCGTATATCAGCAGACTTGATTAGTTTTGATGCCAAGAATCAAGCACAATTTTTTTAGGTTTGAGCTGGAAGCGTGTGGTTTAATTAGCTAATTATACAGCATCCCATAACTAAGCTCAAACTAAAGTGCTTTAAGATATTTCTGTCACCTTTATTCCCTTAGTCACTATGAAAAAAAAAAAAAAAGGACATGTCACCTTTATAAAGTATGCTAAGAAGCTATATAGCTGGACCCATGACTTTGCTTGGGAGCCAATTAAGCCAAAAAATGACTGAATACTAATGAATTCTTAAAAAAAAAAATGGAGACTTTCAAATGGTTTGGCATCATAAATATGCAAAATTATATCTATCTTGCTATTCTTTGAAACTTTAAAAAAGCTTGAAAAGAATCTAATTACTATAAAGAAAAATAAAGAGTATAGATAAAAGAAATGGTATTGAAATCGATGGCTAGACTGAATTTATAGGGAGGGCTATTGTTTTATGATATAAATTAGCAGAGTATGATAGGCGTGCTAAATTATTATATATCACAAATGTGAAATATTGTGGGATGACTTTTGACTGTTGCATAACAACTTGTGAGATTAGATAAATCTTTCATTTGTATTTAATATTATTGAACTCTGAAAGAATGGTAGGTAGAGCAATTTTATATGTAATTATAAAAAGATTTTCGTCTCCACAGGACCATAAGTCCTAATTGTTGCTTCCCGAGCTCATCAGGCAGAGCCAACAATGACCAACTTGCATAAATGTTTTAAACCGCAAGACCTGGTCAGTACTTGCTTGTTGCTTCCCGAGCTCTATTAAAGTAATGATTTATGAATTTAAAATTTTAATTTATTATTTTAATTTTTAAAATTTTAATTTTTTTATAAAAATAAATATTATAATTATGATCCTAAATTTAGATAGAATCCTAACAAAATTTAGTAATTGTTTCAAGTCCACCGCCAAAAATTGACAATTTGGACACAAAAACTAAACACTAAAAACTATATAAAAAAAAAGAAACAAAATCCCATAAAAATAAAAATCCTACTGTGGTTTCTCATTTGACTATATTTGTCAATATTGTTATTATACACTAGTATTTAAAATAAAAAAATGATAATAATTCAAGCAAAATTATAAAAAAAAAAGACCATATAATAACGTAAAAATACAAAGAAAAAATTTAATTAAATACACATTTTATACAAAACCGATGCGTAGAAAAGTCACATTAACAAACGTTTAACGCTCCAAAATCAAATATTAAGGCTAAAATTAAACCGGCGGCCGGACCGAATCACTTCTTGGCACATCCGGTCCGACGATCGGAGCAGAGGTCCCCTCGCCGTCGTCATTAGCCGCCACCTTCGGCGACTTCATTGACGACATCCTCCCGAAAAACGGTGGCGTCATAGTGAAAACCCACCGGTCCGACTTAGCCGACCGGTCCAACCGCCTGCCACTCCTCCCTCTACTACTTCCCTCGCCGGTTCGGTACCCGCGCCTCGAGCTCCCTTCCCTAGGCAACAGCACCAAGCTGGACGCCCGCTGCAGCCGCCGGAAAAGCCTCCTCATCCGGCTCGACCGGGACCCACGCGTCCGGTTCCGGTTCAAAGTCTTGTTCAACTCCAAAACCTCCTGTTCTGGCGCCGCCATAGCCTCCGATTGTTCCCGCTCCTCTCCGACTTGCTGTTCCAATTCCGGTTCGGGTGCAACGGCGTCGTTTTGAGCTTCGATATCGGACAACTCAGGCCGGTGGAGCGACTCGCCAGGTTCGGGAACTAAATTGGCCCGGCAGACCGGGCAGGTGGTGTGGGATTCGAGCCACGTGTCGACACACTCCATGTGGAAAACGTGATCGCACTTGGGGATCAAACGCAGCGTTTCGTCGTCCTCGAACTCGCACAAACAGACGGCGCACTCCAGCGCGCCCTTCCCGATCTTCAAACCCTTAACCGCGGAGTAAGTAAACGTCGGGAAACTCTCGATCACCGCCGCGTCGAGCCCTCGCGCCGCCCTCCGCGACCGGCCAACGCCGCCGTTTACTGCGCCGACGCCAACGGAGTTCTGAGTGCCGTCGGAGCAGTGGCGGATGTAGATGGAGAAGAAGCCCATGAAGAAGAGCGCGGAGACTAGGACGACGACGATGATCGCCATGGAAGGGCTGAAGCTGTAGTTGTACTGATCTGTGGGGGTACTGGGGGCCGTCGGCTGAGCTCTGGCGAGGGGAATCGCTGGCCATAGGAGGAGTAGAAACGACAGGGAGAGAGAAACGACGATCCGATCATGGTTATGCTTGGAGTGATTCATGTTAATTAGCTGCTGTTTGAGTGAAGAAGAAGAAGAAGAAGAAGAAGAAGAAGAAGGAGGAGGAGAAGAAAGTAAAAGGAGTTTTTTTTTTTCTGTTTTGCGGTAGTGGTGAGGGCTAACATGCGCCGGGGGGTTGCATGATATGGAGGGAGGAAAATTAAGGGGAGAGACGGCGAGGAGAGGTGGTTATAAATGAGAGAGAGAGAGAGAGAGAGGGAGAGAAAGTGTGTGTGAAAGTGTCGTGAGGGTGAAGTTAAGGGAAAGGGCTATTGGAGATAAGTGGGGCCCACATTGACCTTCTAAGAAACAGATGTATGTTGGAAGCGCCGATGTCAGCTGGCGGTCATGGAAGGCGTGCCCCGTGGAACCTTTTTTTTCTTTTTCTTTTTCTTTTTCTTTCCTTTGGGAAGATTCTTAATTGATTTGCGTTGGTTCCTCGGAAGTAGGATGAAACAGGACAAATGCCTTGTTGCGGTAACAAAAACTAACCATGCAAATACCATTGTTTCTAATTCTTGGTCTTTTTTATTTCTCTCTCTCTCGGACCAAATTATTGCATGGTTTTATTCGGACTATTTATGATCAAGTAAAAGAAACAGTCTTATTGGTATTATCAATTTATGACGATTGAATTTAATTAAAATCACATTAAATTATAATAGTATTTAAAATAGATAATTTTTAATATGGATCTAATAATTAAAAATAAAAATTATTGGTAGTTTTATTTTTTTTGATCTTATATGAGAAGCTCCTAAAAAAATAATATAATTTTTAAAAGGG